TCTGTGTCCGGCCCGGCGGGTTGAAGGGGTTAATGCGCTCTGTCTTTTATTCTGGATGTTTCCGTTGGGCTCTGTGTCCGGCCCGGCGGGTTGAAGGGGTTAATGCGCTCTGTCTTTTATTCTGGATGTTTCCGTTGGGCCCTGTGTCCGGCCCGGCGGGTTGAAGGGGTTAATGCGCTCTGTCTTTTATTCTGGATGTTTCCAGTGTGCCATGCGAAGGTCTGTCTTCACCACACAGGATAGAATCCACCTGCTAGGTCCAGTCCAGACCTTGGTAGAAATTAACCGCACTAGGTTCAATGAAGAGCAAGTCAAAATAAAATCAACATCATACACTCTAATCTAAATCTTTTCTTTAGTAAATAAACATTTACACGAGTAAAACGCAGGAGATTTTGTTCTTTACACACCTGGTTTCTTTGCTACCTGAAGTCTTGATAGAGACATTTCTCTCCGTCTGCTACATACACTAAGCTTTTTTTAAAAAGTTCAGGTTTCCTCATTCATCTGGAACATGTTAAAGAGTCAGAATCGGCCTGGCAGGTTGAACCCAGCAGGAGGAGAGCAGACACGGCAGACGAGGTCATGATGAAATCAGCCAATCAGGTTTGATGTAAGAAAAGATGGGAAATTATCTCACAGCATGTTTCCTGTGGACAAACTGATGATGATCCTTCCTTTTTTATTTGACGGAAACGTTTAAGGCCACAGAAAAAGTTGAAGGAGTTTGAGTGTGTGTAAAATTATAGTATTTCTATGTTTATGAAGGCTGGCTTAATGGATCTATTCTGTGAGTTAAATACACTGACCTGATCTGTAAGGGCTTCATTACTTTGCTCTAACTGTTCCCAACATTTGGAAACAATTTCCTGAACTCTGCATGCCAATAGCTTGTTCCCATCCACCGCTCTGTTTCTCTACTCAGTGTTTGTAGATCTTCCGAAATGTTAAAATTTAAAAACAATCCACTGGACTTTGTTTCCAAGTTTGAAGACGTTTCGCTTCCCATCCAGAAAGTTTTTTTAATTCATAATGTCCGGATTAGTGTTTAGTTCCAGGTGTTCTATACAGTAGCCCAACAAAGCTTTGTAATGGTTTAGAAAACATGCAAATTAAAAACCAGCTCTACCCCTGAATAATGAGAGTCGTTCAGGTCATTATTGGCCCAGCTGACCTGGCCAGATATTTTGTTCCCCTGCATAGCGATGGGGGCTGAGATGATAGTGGGAAGGAATCAACTCTATCGCTGCGTTGTAGGTTTTTGAGAGCTGAAACCTGCGTGAGTGGCCATCTGCTGAGGCCGACTGGGGGTCAAGGAGACCTATGGAAGGAGATCTAGGAGATCTAAAGAAAACCAGTTGATTGCATCGACTCATTGACTTTTCAGCAATCCCTCACACTAAGGCCCTGTCCGCACGAAGTCAAAACGAACACTAAACGCTAATATTTTCCAGAACGTTAGTCGTAAAGACGGAGACTGAAAATAAATGTGATCGTCCACACGAATGCATGAAAACGCTGCAAAATGTATGCCAGGCCTGTAAGTGGCGCTGTGGTGCCAAAGCAAAAATAGGCGACGAAATGTTGGGCATGCGCAGTAATATTTATACATGGTTGCCCTGCGGGTCCATTTTCGTCGTTCAGTCAAATTCAGGTGCTGAACTATGTGGTGGATATTGCTCTGTTCTTCCTGGAGATATTCCAGAAGAAGAAGATTCTGTTGTAAGCCCGACAGCAGGGTGAGTAGCATGAGCAGCAACCATTCAACACAGTACGGTGCCATTGTTGTTGTGATACTGTGTCGCGCATGCGTGTTTAGAGGCGACGCTATGACGCATGCGTGTAAAAAAAAAAATGCGGTTAGAGCTTAAAGATGGAAACGCGAAAACGGCGTTTCAAAATCTTCCCACTCTGAAGGCTTAATAAAAAAAAGATCGTTTACAGACCCCCGAAACGCCGGCTTCGCATGGATGAGAGGCTGGTTTGGTGAAAAATTTGTGCGTTTAGGCCAGGGTTTGACTTCGTGTGGACGGGGCCTAAAGGCTGATTTATACTTCGTAACTAGGTAATCTGCGTAGGTGTTGCAGTGAAGGCCGAGACGTCCCCGCCGCCTTTGCAGACTCTCTGCTGCACCTCCCCATAATTGTAGGTGACTGCAGAAAGTGCCGCAGACAGAAGGCCTCTGATTGGTCAATTCTACGTCCCCTCTAAACTATGCTTATTTCTTGTTTGGTACCTAATGACAGAATCTCTGGCTGTAGTGCCGTCCACAACGCCTGGCACACCTAGGACTCTATCCCAGACACCGCGCAGGACGCTAGTTTGTAGCTCTGTGGGACGGTCTGTTGGTTTGCACCTGAAGCCAAAACACGCAGCGCCACGGCCAGTCTTTGGGGAACACTCACGGCCTGACGCCTGCCGTTGGATGAGAGGTTGTATATGGCGAACAAGCTCATCAAACCAACACATGGACACCCACAATCCTAGCTAGTTCCTGATTGTCCCTCCTGCTTTGTGGTTTGGAATAACACAGCGCAGACCACGATTCAATATTGGGCATAAATCAAAAATATCTGCATCATACCTGAGACGCGCTCACTGTGACACTCTGCTGCAGGAGGATACACAGACCATATGCCATTACAAGGCTTTAGATGGGCTACTGTAGAAAAGCCTGGAACTAAATGAGAATCCAGACATTTTGAATTGAGAAAGATTCCTGGATGGGAAGTGAAACATCTTCAAACAGTCTTCTCAGTCATCCAGGTCATAGTCATTCCAAAAAGTTAAAATTAAAAAACAATCCACTGGAATTTGTTTTTTAATTTTAACTTTTTGGAATGACTATGACCTGGATGACTGAGAATCTCCAGCAGCATGTTTGTATAAATCAGGGGGATATTATCTGAACTCTTCCTGCTTTCACAGGCTGTTGTTGAAGGTCATTAATTCAGCTGCCTCTTTCGGTTTTGTTTTTTTTTAAGGAAAATGAATAAAATATTCAGTTTTTTTCCCTTTCCATCGAACTGTGAGATGTTTCCCTGCATCGGCGTAATGTCTGTTTAAAGACGACTCGTTTTTTTAAACACCTGAACATAAACCAGAGGATTCAGAGCCACTGAAGCTGTGACTGAATGGACGCTTAAAGGACGTCCTACCTGTCCAAACAGACTCTTCAGGTGCAGCTTAGCAGCAGAGAGTTTGGCTCTGTGGTGGTGCTGCCTTTGCTGGGACTTTAAGTCAAAGGGGTCTGAGGAGACTGAGGGTCGCTGGTCGTCTTTCTCTGGACTCTCAGGGTCTTCGGCAACCGAGGCCAGCTGGCTGTCGCTGTAGGCCCTGCAGCCTTCGCTGATGCTACACACCATGAGGCGGTTGGTGTCCTGCTTCCCCAGATCGCTGAGGTTCTCTGCGCTGCTGCTGTGCTCTTTGATCAGCTCTCTCCTCCTGACCTCGGCCGGTATCTGCGCCGGCTCTCTGATGGTGGGAATCAGGCCAGCTGACCCTGCGTCGTCGAGTTGCTCAATTTCCAGCTGAGGGGGGGGGTTGACAGACGTCCGCCTGCTTCCATATTCTGGCTGCTTTGGGGGCAGTTTGTCCCACTGTATGGAGTCAAGGTCCAGAAGGGATCCCTCAGAGCTGAATCTGCGCATGTTGGACAGAAATGCTGCAGAGAGGAAAATAAAACACATCAGTCTCCAAATGTTAAATCTTTCTGATCTGAAAGATGAAATCTATGATCCCATCATAGAACGGCTGAAGGTTAAAGTGATTCCTCAGGGTAAATTAAACTGTAAAGGTTACAGATTAATCCATAACAGTCTCTTCTGTCAGCACATCCGATCGTAAGACATTGATTCGGTCAAAAGTTTTTTAGCACAGGAGCCAGAACCAGTTCTATTCTATTCAGTTTATTTCTATAGCGCCAATTCACAACACATGTTATCTCAAGGCACCTTACAGTTCACCAGATCATCCAGTCAGACTGATTCAAAGTTTTCTATCTCCCTCACACTAAGCATGCTTGTAGCGACAGTGGAGAGGAAAAACTCCCCTTTAACAGGAAGAAACCTCCAGCAGAACCAGGCTCAGTGTGAGCGGCCATCTGCTGAGGCCCACTGGGGTTCAAGGAGACAGAAGCAGACATAGAAAAAGCAGCTATAAAAGGCGGCTCTGTCCAGGAAACACACAGCCAGAGAGACGAGATCCATTTTCTTATATTTAGGGTTTTTTTATGTTTAGTTTGTATTAGATTTATTTAGTTTCTACTCTAAATTTATAATTTTCAGAGTTTCAGCT